GCCAGGGCCAAGTGGGCGATGGACCCCCCCACGCAGACCTTTCGGGGGGGCTCCATCTGTCCTGGCAGGCGCTGCTGCCGCACCGGGCTTGGCAGGAGCAGGGCTCAGCGCCGGCGCTTTGCCCAGCCCGTCCTGCCGTTTGCTCGTCCTCCACCCACCCCAAATCTCCCAAAGCAAAGAGGACGCGTTCCCCCGGCACAGGTACCCCGCTCCAGGCTGCACCCAAGGAGATGGCAGCGACAGGGGACCAGGGCAGCACAAGCAGCCACAGCCTTAAATGCAGCCACCTCCCACCAGCTTCCCCAAAGCCAGGGGACAGAGCAGGGACAGCTCGAGCGCTGCGCCCAGCTCCCCTGCAAGCACCAAGGCAGCCGGCCAGGCTGGCAAGGGTGGATTTGTACAAAGAGAAGGGAAGAGGAGAGGGCCAAGGTAGAATTAACATATCGCTGGCTCTTCAAAAGCATCAAAGGGAGATAATGGTCTGAGAGAGGATTTGAAGCGACAGCCTTGTTACAACCGATAAAACAGGCAGCTCGCTTGCAGCAGAGCTGTGCAGAAGGTATGAAGAATTACAAAGGCTGAGATTATAATTACAATGAAAGTCATGTCCATGATGCTGCAAAATGATGGACTAACTAGGACTGGGGGCCCCCCCAAAGCACGGACATGTGCACACACGTGTGTGCTTAGGAGCTGGAGCACGCGTGGCAAGCACAAAATGGGGGTTGAGATGCTCCTGTGAGCCCAGGGCCATGAGGGACCCCAGGCACACATGAATGCTCAGAGACGCACCTGCATACACACACATGCACGCTGCAGAAGAGAGGAAAACCAGAGCTGGGGGAACGTAGAGAAGAACATTGTGGAGTTAAGTTAAAAAAAAAAAAATAGTCTTTCTGATTGTCCCAGGAGAAGACCAGGAGGTAAATGAAATCCAAGTGAGTCACTGCCTTGACCAAGGCAGACTTCCCCTGGTTAGCAATTATAACACAAATCTGTTAGTGATTAACAAGACAGGACCAAATGCGTCCCTCTAAAATGGACAGCAGCAGCATCCCCAGCACACTCCACCGAAGGGAGGGACAGAGGCAGTTTCATTGGCTTTTTAATTAACTCATTTTCAGGAGTTCCAGCTTCTGATAGAGTCCCCCTCAGGCATAATGTCTTGACAAACAAAAATCTCCTTGAAAAATAACAGTAAAGTGAACTTAATCTCTTTCTCCTTATTAAAGTTTTTTAATGCTTTTCAGCACAAGAGAAACTGAATTAAAGTAGAAATAGCAAAATGATAAGATAGTCAAATGCAAACAGTAACCAGACAGAGTGAAGAGCGACACAGACACTGTGCATTGCAGATATTGTCATCTGAGGTCTCGCAATTATTGCAAAAGGACCTCTCAAACCCGAGCATCCCAGCGCGCAGGAGAGAGGCCAGCGCGAGACAAGACGGGATGCAGGAGCCCTGGGTCTGCTTCCCATCAGACCTGGGCTCCTAAGGGGCCTCGGTGGGTCATCCAACCCAGACCCCACCATGAAAAGGGCACCACGGTGCTTGCTTTGCCGCTTCTCTTTCAGGCACAGGCATCTTTAGGCAGGGGCTTGGCTTTTACTACACCTCTCTCCAGTGCCCAGCCCAAAGAGGCTCTGATGGCCGTCA